GCTGCCGCCTCCCCGGGAGGATCTGAGGGGACACGGAGCCGCCAGCCCTGCTGTGGCCCGCGGACGGCTCGGCACGTGGCTCTTCGCTCAGCAGCCAGCGAGCACAGCCAGCCTGGGGCCAGCAAAGCACAAACTCAGGTGTTCCAGCCCAAAGCGAGAGCCACAGACTGATTTGAGTTCGCTTTGTGGGCTCTCCTCAGCCTGGAGGGGCTGCTGCCTCCTCACCCGCACCCCCACGGACCCCAGCACCCACCCACAGGACACCCCACGTCAGATCAGGCCTCAGTCCTGCGGGGAGTGACAGCAGAGGGGTTGCTTGCTGGAAGCAGGAATGAACTAACCTGCCTCTGGCTGCCTCCTCTGCCCCCCAAACACAACCCCCCAGAAACGCTCGAAGAACCAGCCCACGCCTTTGACTGGAGTGAGTCTGAAAAACTAACAAAGGCCAAAAAAGAAAGCTGGAAAATAGAATAAGGTTCATCTTTGATCACACAATCAGTGCCTGGCATACATCCTAGAAACAAGGAAGGGAAATTAAAATGGCAGACAGACCTCGTAGGGGCAGGTGCTGCACACAAGTACTAGGTACTGGAACAAGGGCCTTCCCCTGCGCCAGCGCTTGCGGGTTTCAGGGCAGAGCTGGCTTCTTACCTTTTGCAATTTGCCTTCCTTGTAGGCCTTCTGGTCTTTGATTATCTCAGGAAGATACTTGGCACAGTACAGGGCAACTTCTTCTCCTGAAAGAGAGCAGAAATCATTTGAAAAGGCTGGTCCTCCCAGGAGCCAAAAGCACTCTCGAGCAACTGAATTCCTGAGGCAAATCTTGGGACACAAACCAGAACTAACGCAGACATGGAGCAGCCAGGCAGCAGCAGGGCCTCTCGCTCAGCGGGCTGCACCTCCCGAAGAGCAGGATGACCCTGGCAAACCCCGGTGAGCTCTTATCCATCAGGTCTGGCCGATGCTATAACCCTCCTGAAAGGGAGCTTGGGCCCATCCTGGCACTTAGGCCCATCCTACCTAGAAAGCTCTGCTCTCACAGGCAAGCGCGGGGGTAAATGAGCAGAGGAAAAGGGAAGCTTTTGGTCAGCGTAAGCTCGCTCTCAGAGCAGCACAAAAAGCGTTACGTGTCCTTGTGTGTGTTCCAGACCAGTGAAAATACGATGCCACAGCCCTGAGATCAGCTTTTCAGGCAGATGGGGTCCCGGTCAGCAGAGCAGTTGATCTTGGTCTGGGGGGTGTGTGTGTGCGGGGCGTGAGCCAACGGTGGCCAGAACATCAGGCTGCTGAGAGCAACTGGGACTGACGGTCAACACTTAAACCAACACCCACTCCTAGAGCAGCTGAAAGATTCTGGAAAGGCAGAAACACTCCAGCAGCGCAGTAGTTAACACTGTCAGGTACACAACAGAGCAGGGGACGTTCTTCGTGATCATGAAGGTTCTCTTAAGAGAAGAGTAAGATTAAACAGAGCGAGGGACTGGGAATTTCTGTAGTTCAGCTCAGCAGTGGGGACCAGAAAAAACAGAGCAACTTGTACGAGATTCAGTCTAGTAATTTAGGTTTTTATATGAGAGGCAAAGAACTACGTAGGATATAGGAGCCTGGCTCACGGGTCACAAGAGAAAAATTAGTGCTAGAAACTGAGAAGCCAACAGAAGGGTGGCAGAGAGAGGAGCAGGGCAGACAGCAGGCAGGGTCAGGAGCGAGCTGAAGCTGCACTGGATGCAGCACCCGCCACCACGGGGCAAGGGAGGAGCAGGATGACCGAGCCCAGCGCTCGGGAGCCGCCGCACGCCACCACCTCCCCTGCCGCCTCGGTGGGTGCTCCCTCCCTCGGGGCTACGGAGGGATGGTGTTCACAGCACAGCTCTTGGTCTCCCTGCTAGCACATCCCAGCTTCCTCCCGTTCTTCCAGGCAAACAGAGGCTGTGCGGGCAGCTGGGCACGACGAGAAGCAGCGCAGGCAGGAGCAAAGCTCTGCAAAGGGACGGAGAGCCGGGAGCCGCGGGGAAAGTACGGGAAGGGTGGGAAGTTGTTGGCCGTCAGCTGAGGAGAGGGAGAGGCAGAGGGAACATAGTGGGAAGTGAAGAGGTGGCGAGATTTGAGAGAAAGAAAGAAACAGCAGACAAGGGACTTTTCAAATATGCTTGCAGAAAAGGGATCAAGTGGCCATTGACAAAGAACAGAAACCTTGCAAAACGGTTGCTGTTAGAATAATGCTGCAAAAAGTTCAATGCTGCGGATCTAGACAACAAAGGGACAGCTCTACTCTGGCCGTGCTCTCAAAAATGCAGAGTGGGAGGAAGAGGGGAGGGAAAACAAAAAAGGGAGATCACAGAAAAATAAGCGATCTAAGAAACAGGAGTGACCCTAGCATTTTAATGAGAACTTAAAAGGGAATAACCAGGGTGATCTGACAGCCACAGACCTGTCAGAAAAACAAAAGGCTGGCTGGACCTTGCAGGATCTCCCGTGAGACGGACGGACAACGTCCATAACTGCTTATGGAAGCAGGTCCTGCCCATCCAGCTCCACACCCGCTCTTAAAGGTACGAGGAGTCTGGCCGATAACACTCAGCCTGCTGATGTAACAGACTTAGGGAAGGTACGTAACATGCATATATATGTTATATATAGCCTACATACACACACGTACCTAAAACAGCACTTGGATTAAGGAGTTAAGCTTTCATGACAGCACAGATGGAAGAGGTGAGGGAACTGGCAACTGCCACAAAACTAAACAATCCCATCCCGGGAACGCGCTCACATGCAGTCCTGAAGGACTTATTAATAAATTAAAGGAGGGCAATATAATTATGCCAATCAACATGGGTTTGCATCAAGCTAAACTGGTATCTTTTATGATGAAATTGCAAGTTTAGTTAAAAGGGAATAATGGAGAATTCATATATTTAGACCTCTTTACGGCAGATGATACTGCAGCATTTTTATCCATGAGCCAAAATAAAACAAAACTTCTACAAGAAAACTGTGGATGGAGGGAGGGATGGATAACAACAGCGACAGGTCTTCCTGATCACTTGGCCAACTGGGGTGAACGAGCAGGGGCTGCCCCGAGGTCTGGCCACTGAGGAGAACGTGCAGAGTCTTGGATTGTGGCAGAAAACCACCCAGCAGACCCGAATGCTCCGGGAGATGGTCCCGGAACAACAGGCAGGAGCACACGAGGTGTGTCCTTGTGTTTCGGCTGCTTTTACTGAGAGCACAGACGAGTACAGCCACGGCCCTGAAGCACCTGGGGAGGACATGGGCGGCAGCTACGTCCTGGCTCCCAGGACAGGGATGGAGTGGCCACCGGGGCAGTTCTCTGCGGGGACACAGGGCCCTGCCGCAGGCAGAGCTGCTCCAGGAGAGCTCCAGAACCCGGCTGGCACCTTGGCCGAGACACAGACATGACAGCGGTGCACTGAGCGTGTGAGGAGAACTAGGAAAACTGCAAGAATGTCTAATCCCAAACCAGGAATAACAGGCCCAGTGGGCTGGTGACATGGCTGCCGGTCAGTGCAGGGGCAGCCTCAATCTCCTCCAGTTTCTCTCCCAACTTGCCATCATCCCAGCTGGGACCCACACAACAGCACCGACACCTCTTACCTCATTTTCACACTCTCCGGGGCACTGAGCTGCCTCACCCAGACCAGAGTGTGTGATGGGGATGGGTGGGTCACCTGCCCGTGCCTGCGCTGTGCCCTGCAGCTTCAGAGGCTTCCCCAGACGCTAAACGGGAGTGGGGTGGGTAAAAGCCTGCATGGCTTGTGCCCGGTACCTGTGCTGGCAGAGGAGGACTGGCCCCAGCTGCCTGCTGAGATCAGAAAGGGAGAAGCGAGCAACCAAAGGGCAGCCCCGTCCCTGCCCAGCGGGGTCTGCAGATGAGGCCACAGCCCTGGGCAATCCGTGCTCCTGGAAGCAGCTGACAGATCTAATAATACCAGCGCGGACACCTGATCACCCACCAGATGGAAAAGGTGACCGAACGTTCCGATCTTCCTGCCACAGCTAGGGAGAAGGGATTTTCTTCACAGCAACAAGGAGGGTTGATCTGAGAAAGCCACCGACAGCTCTGCAGCTTGTCCTGGGGAGAGGGCAGGGCTGGGGGCTGGAGCTGAGCCCGCAGGAAGGGGCTTTCTCAGGCCTGGCAGCACCGTGCGGCGACAGGCCGCAGAGCAGGGTCCTGCCCTGCCACTGCAACGCGGGAAGCCAGCCCCGACGTGAACAGCTTTGGCAGTTAAACATGCGATTTCTTAGGGACGCTGAGATTAAGTGGTGATCCAGGAATGTCTGATGTGCCTGACTGCAGCTGCCCAAATTACTGTAGGAGAGTTTGTCGGTGCCACAGAAGACAAGGAACCTGTGCTGCTTCCCGCACAGCTCCAGCACAGGCGCCGCAAGGGACATTGCTGCTGCAAACCCATGAGGCGTCTTGCTGGAGCCTGTCACCAGTCTCCTGGACTTTGCTCTTCCCCTGCAGCTTGCTCCAAACCAGGCACCCACGGGAGCAGAGCTGGTCGTGGCAGTACCCCGTCTCCCTCGCTCGGGGGATACAGAGGTTCTCACTTCCAGCGCTTTAACCAAAACAGCTAGAAAAACGAGATTCTCCTTTGGAGTCCTCTGGCTGTGGAAGATCCTCCTCCTGAGGGCAGGGATGAGGGCGCCAGCTGCTGGACTGGGGAGCCAGGGAACTACGAAAGCCAACTCAGACACTCGAGTGCTGCTCGGTGTTCACCAAGGTCCGTGCCTGCCTGTTCCCCCAGGCACGAAAGGATCCAACCCACCACACTGCCGTGGAATTAGAGAGGAGAACAACTATCAAGAAGCCATCAGCTGGAACCGAGTAACTGATTCCCTGGACAGATCACAAAGATCCCAGAGCAAAAGGCTTCCCCATGCCTCACTGCTTTTCCTTGATGGTGCCTCGCCTACTACAGCACTGGCTCAAAATTAGTTCCCTCACCTCTGCAGTTCCTGTGTTCTACACACAAAGTCACACTCTACTGCAGTGCTACAGAGAAGCAACAGGCAATCCACCAGCATAAAATGCTCCCCAAACCACTCATGCCCACCTGGGCATCAGAACTGACTGAAAGGCTGGAAATGACCTCTGAGCAATGAAGGGCTGCACAGCCAAGGGTCCTGGCTGCCCTCACCTCCACAAGCATTTGAGACTTTTCCAGCAAAACGGTAAACGCTGGGAAGGGCTATCTGAAGCACAGAACTGACCTGCAAAGCAGCAAAACAGAAGGAATTTTTCAAAGATGCAAATGCCCATAAAACGGTTTTGTTCAAGCAAGAGAAGGGTGAGCGCGATGCAGCACAGCCTGGCAAGCACGGGGAACTGCCACGGGGGCTCCGCCCTGACTGCGGCAGGCAGGAACCAAGTCTGCTCCTTTCAACCTCCAGACGAGGCTCCGCACGCTCCAAGGTGCACCTTAACCTGCAGCAGGAGTCCTGGCACCGACAGTCAGGAAGGCGGGGAACAGAAAACCTCACCAAGTGCAACTTCCACTTCTTCACGCTTCCCCGCGAGGCGGGACAGGAGCGGAGGTACAAAAGCAGGTCCTGGTGCACGCGGAGTGCCTTCAGCTGCTGGGCACTTCCAACGCCTCCAGGAGCTGGACGCAGAGAATACAATTACCCAGCTACAGCCGTAATCCAGGACCAACAGTGAATCCAGGATCATTCCACGTCGCCAGTGCGAAACCCAGTGTAAAACTCT